TTCACTAGCAGAGGGTTCATCGAGGCACACACGTCGGTCGAGAAGTCGGGGGCTCGCAAGTTGTCGCATTTCGCATGGCAACACAATTTTGGCAAAATGGAAAAGCGGACAACGGGGTAACTGTATCGTCTACCCCCCCCCCCCCCCCCTGCTACCCTGCTACTAGTTCGACCTGACTAGGACCCTGGTACCAGTAAGGTATATGAATACAGATAAGTTCAGTGCATGTTCACAATTTCTCAATAAAAATCATCCTGTACAATACCCGTGGCTGGATAAATTTCAACTGAGTATATACGGTGACTGCAAACCTACCTTGGCCAAGGCATCTCAGTGGGAGCAATACCATTAGGTCCGCCGCCACCATCACCATCATCTCCGCCACCACCACCACCATGGTCTCCACCACCACGGTCTCCACCACCACGGTCTCCACCACCGCCATTGCCACCTCCAACGCCTCCTTCGTCCCCGTCCTGTGCATCATCACCACCGCCTGCAGATCCTCTGTTTTCAACGCCACCATTGCCTGTCTCACCAGCAGAGCCACCTTGTTGGTTGCCATTTCCTTTATCATCACTGCTGCCCTTGCCCTCACCGTCCACACACTCCTTGCTTGTACCCATACACTCCCTTCCATCGTTGCCTCCACCGCCACCGGCACCATTGGCAGGATTGTTGCCGTTACTGTCGGAGTGGTTTGCACGTCCGCCCTGCGCATTGCCTGCACCACGGCTGCTTCCCGCAGCACCACGTCTGCGCTGTTGGAACATGTCGCCATTCTTGTAGATGGGAATGTGAAGCGTTTCCAAGTTGACGTGAAGTGGGAAAGCAGCGATGGTGTACGTTCCACTCTGCATCACCTGCGTTTCAACACGGTAGCCATCCTCGGAGAGACTCTTGGCCAGCAAACGCTCAATCAGAGACCAGCACTCGTCTTCCATGTTGAGCTTGATGGCAACGACCTGAGAGTTATCAAAGTCACTTGGGTCCAATCCGTGTATGCCGTAGATGCTGTGGGTGAGTCGGAGAGGCGAGCACCGCGTGCTATCCAGGTATCGCACATCCACCACAGGGCTGAGGCGCTTACGGACGAAGGGGAATATGCTCTTGTTCGTCGGCATGGTGAGACTCAGCCAACCGCCGGCCTCGTCGCTGACATCAATTCGGCGCTGAAGTCTGGCGCGATTGCCGCAGTAGGACGGGACGAAGTTTTCGTCGTGCTTCATCCTTGACATCTCCATAGCATCCACGAACACAGGGGTGTTGCTAGCGAAGAGATAGTCGACCTCTCTGTATGTGGCGCGAATGCACTGGCTCAGCTGTGACACTGGGGAGTCTACGGTGACCTCTACCAGATCATTCCTGTTTGCATCCGGCTGGGTGGTGGTGCTAGCTTGCTGGGTTGAGAGGGCACGGGGAACCAACTCACTTCGTATAGGTGTGACAACTGAAGTAGTGGAATGGGAATCATTGCAGTTCTGACTCTCACTGTTTGCCTCCATAGCAATGTAGTTGACTATGTTCCCGCGTGAAGACATCAATGTTTGTCCGGTCATGCCCTCATTGGTCGGTGCTGGTCCATTCCTGTTTGGACTGTGGTTCGATTTACCCATCAGGACTGGTGAAGCACTAAAACACATATCTCTATGCACTGATGCATCTTCCCTGGTACCGACCTTGCTCCTCCAAGCCGGGTCCTGGGCGCTCAGTATGGGATTGTAGTTTTGCGTGGGCCTGTCATTTTCGATCGGCTCGTCGGTGAGGACGAGTTTCTTGCTACTAAGAATCCTGCGTGCACCGCTTGGAGATGGGGTGATGTCGTCCACTGCATACTGGTCCTGGCACTCCTGATCAGCACTGCTCAGCCGTGGGGTCCAGCTCTCTGATAGTTTTCTCACTTGCGTGGTGTTTGTCGAGTACACAGATCTTGAATCCACTCCGGTTTCATTCACTGCATGTGTCGTGTTCTGCTCATTCAGTTCTGCTATATACAAAACCAGTCGCAAAAGCACCGAAATACGTATTATTGTGGTCAGAGAAACATCAGTTACATGGCAATGCTCAGCTTGTGCTGGGATTGTACTACTGTAAATATACAAATTTTCGGCAGCTATTTAATTTCGGCTATATTCGGCACCAACCCAAAACGCCTAAATTAAAACGCGGATGAATTTTTTTACAGCATCTGTCGCACTATACCATGCCCTCTACCCCACGCCGAAAATAAATCGCCGCCGAAATGTCAAAAATTGTGAAGTGCCGAAATTTTGCAGCGCCGAAATTTTGTATATTTACAGTATTCAACAGCTTGCAAGGCTGAAGAATTGACCGCCACTATTCAGCCTGGTCTACACCACACAACTATGAAGTGGCTTTTTCTGGTCAGTGAATCCCTACTTTTTGGTCTTTTTCATTTTTTCCGCACATACATCACACCACATACTCCGACATGCACTGGCTGTTGGTAACCACCCAGGAGAAAGAAAAAAAGTCAGGAGGAGTCTGAGAAAGAGAAGACAGACGTGTGACCGTAATCGTCGGGAATCAAACCCGCAACCTCTCGATTGGAAATTGCTGCACATACAAGTACCAGTGGACTATATGGGACACACACACACACTCTCACACGCACACACACACACACACACACACACACACACACACACACACACAAACACACACACACACTCACTCACTCACACATACACACACACAAACACACACTCACCCCCCCCCCCCACACACACACACACACACTTTGTGACACAATCGATCGATATCGATCGATTGGTATACAATGGCACTAAAAAAAAGTATATCTCTGGTGTTCTTTCACCGACTTTCATAAACAAAGCATCTACGTTTCGAGGGGAACCTTGGCTATCACGTCGAAGTTACCGGAAGTCTCTACGAGGTACGATGCCGCCGTGGTGAGACTCGAGGTCGGAGGAAAACTGAAAAAATCACTCCGATCGAAAAATTCAAATTTTCAGTTTTTTCACACTGCACTTGGCAGGGGTTTTCCCCGGCGTGCTACGTCATACTCAAGCATGCAGCACATCAACATTTTGCGCTTGAAACGAGCTTTCCGCTGTAGTTTGTTTGAAGTCGATCTGATGAAGGAGAATGGAATGGCGGATGTTTGAACTTTGCTGGAGCTGTTCGCGCACGGCTGCTTTTGAGCGGCATTCTAGGCCACGCAGAGCAGAGGCCGTGAAGGTAGCTGGCTTGAGTACCTTTCCAGCGGTGGCAAGTTTGTAAAAATCGGTGAATGTTTGGCAGAGATACAAGCGAAAGTGCATGTTATTTAAAGGTGAGTAAATTGTCGTACTTTCAGTGGGGTCACAAAGGGTTAAAGGGGAAGTCCGGTGAAAGTTTAAATTTCAGGGTCGGTAGAGTTTCGGGGGCTGAGTCGAATGGTGTTGGTCCCACGTGTCTCCGACAAAGCGTTCTTGAGAAATTTCCTTTTGAAAAACTGAGTTTTGGTGGGTGCGCCATGACGTCATGCGGCCGTGCCACACCCTCCGCAACATCATAGCGTGCAGCTAGGTCAAAAGGAGTGCGTGAAAGCAATAGTGCCAATGCTATTTCAAATGATTTGGCAACCGATAGTAGGTGGTGCAAGCAACCCTGACGACGTAACTCCATGTGAGAGTGAGGACGCAGCCATGGCTGACCTTCATGAGTTCAGTCTGGGGCTGAGAACCTCGGTATTCTGCTGAAGAAATGGCCGCCAAGGTCAAGAGTGAGCGCTCCTGCGTTTCTGACTGATGAAGAAGCAGCAGCTTTTGCAGACGAGGTTGATATAGTTATCAGATCTCTGGAGAGCAGAGTCGCCAAAATGGAGAAGAGTGATACGAGTGCTTTAAATGTTGTTCCATACCGATTCGTTTGGACTCCAGAAGCCTGCCACATGATCATATTTTGTGTGGACTTGGCATATTTCGGACTTCTCGATTAGAGAACAGGCAGGCTTCTTTGAACCACGGGCACGACTCTTCGATTCAAGGCTCGCAACACTACGGGAACTGAAAGTTTTAGGTCCAGGAGTTGTTCACTGTTTTGTCACTTGTCACGGTTGTGGACTCATCGTTGAAGCATAAAATAAGGAGGCGGGACCCATGCGGAAAACTATAATTTTCTTTCTCAAAGCACAACCACCGGCACCGGCAAGGAGAAACGCACGTTCTCTGCCTACATGACTGTACATACAACTGATATGAGTGTAGTACATGACAAGTCTGTGTCTTGACGGCAGTAAAACCTGTGACTACCGACCAACCCTTGGTGCCAGTAAAAGCGGTCGTTAGTAGCAGGTGGTCTTTAGTTAGAGGTTTGCACCGCGCCACCATATATGCATCCCAGTATAAGATATATATGTCAAAATGCTAATACAATTCCCCAGGAATTGTATCAGGACTTGCGCAATGGCATTCTTATGTCAAACAACACTTGGAGAGAAGGACGGATAGATGGAGAGAGACAGAGAGAAGATTAATTTTTGCAGACAACAAATTCGACTGCTACAGCTGAAGCCAGGAGTCAAACGTTCCCTGTGGAAATTTCGTTTTGCACTGAGCTTCTAATTTGTTCATGCGATCAATCATACCGCCTGTCCTTGTTGTGACTTCTCGATTGCTTGAACGCGATCCTTCACCAGGACCTTGCGGTGCTGCTTTGTTTCTGGATTCCTTGATACCATTGTCGATTTGTCTGTATGACTGGGGTGACAAAGCCGCTCAGTCTTCATTTCTCCTCCGAGTAGTAACATCGATCAGAGAGCGCTTTCGATGTGCTCTCCAAGACATTTTCTATTTTTTATTCTTGACAGCGCTTGGAATTTTGACAGGTGTAGTGCAGTCCATGCCAACTCCACAGCTAAATGACCTGCGCTCATTTGTTCAGCTGTACATTGTAGTGTCTAAAGATTCCTTTCAGGACCATGGAAAATCAGTAAAGTTTCAAGAAGGAGCTTCGAGCAACATTTGACTTCCTAGATCGCGGTCGCTAGTTTCGGGTCAAAAATTGTCTTTGGGACAAGAAAGGGCGGTCGCTGGTCCCGTTCAGCAGGTAGTCGCTAGTCACAGTGCATTTTGAATGTGAGACTGTTCGTGCCAGGCCAAGTGATCTGTGGTACCAGGCTGGTCGCTAGTCACGGTGGTCTTTAGTTACAGGTTCCTCTGTACTTCTTTTGCGTCTTGCGACTGGAGTGTTGTCGTAGCTACCTCAGCACGGCAGTGCGGGTGTAGTTTCGTGTGTGATGAGTACAGCTAGCATGTACGCAGCGCAGAGCTAGAGCCTGTACTCTAGTCTGTAGAGGCCGGTGCAGTGTGGACGGAAAAGTCCAACTCGGAAACGGCGAAAATACGGGATAATCTCGAGGCTTGCCGAGCAGAAAATCACAGGGTACGTAGTATTTGTAACACTGAATTAAATGGTCTTGGTCCGAAGATGCTGCGACAAATGGTTCCTCAATGGAACGCGCTCTGAATATGGCCATTTTGTACACAACTAGATGATGTGGCTACCTGGCTGCACGCTGTGACGTCATCACCTGGATCTGGGTGATGCGCGCTCAAATTCGCACATGTTCGATTGGGCATATCTGACGAACCATAGACCGCAGCCTCCTCGGACAAGAACCATTTGACTCAGCGCCCCGAACTCTACGGACTTTGAAATTAAAAAATTTCACCGTACATCCCCTTTAAACCAACAGAGATCTCTCTCACCTGTCTTTTTGGAGTTCCTTTTCGTGGTACGGATCCTGGACAGGAGGAGCCCGTTGATGGTGAGACCGATTGCTACAGCTGCACAGATGACCGATACTGAAAGTGGAAATCAGAAACACACACATACACACATACACACACATATACACACACACACACACACCATTGGACCCTTGGACGCTCATCGCCGGATGTGATGATAACGATGCTACAGCAGAAGCCATAGGAACTTGTGCTGGGATTGCACCATTCAACAGCTTGCAAAGCTGAAGAACTGGCCGCCACTATTCAAAATGGTCTACACCACACAGCTATGAAGCGGCTTTTTCTGGCCAGTGAATCCCTACTTTTTGGTCTCTAAAAGAAAGACACACGCACACATACAAACACACACATACGCAAACATACAGATAATTATTGTTCACATCGAAACATTTCCGGTTGCAGAAGCTTGAGCGCAGTATGCTGCTGAAACAAGTGCGAAGCAAGACTCCGTTAACAAGTTAAACCAAACAAAAAACACTTTGAGCCAAGTTTACGCCTTACGGTGCACCACTGAACACCATTCTACTCTATCTTTCATATTTTTCTCTCAATTTCAAGTGTTAGAATTGATGGCCTGTTTCATGCTCCATAAACTTTTACATTTGTTCACGTTGCTGATGTACAGGTCTACCCTGGTAAGTGCGACATCGGTAACAAGACAAACCCCATTAGTAGACACCAGTCTAAAATCCACATACACCTGAGTACATGCAAGTCCGCATAGCAGATATTACTCGTTATCAGACCAGAACATATTGAATCCCTCGGGGCTGTCTGCTAACGAGAAAAGATGGGTACTAATATCCTATGTGCAAAACTATTCACTTTGTATTACCTATGAGCACTGCAACAGTTGTTCCAGGAGACTGCTCTTGGGAAACGGTTGACATATTATCTGATGTAGTTGGACTTGGTGGGCTAGACACGAAAAGTGGCAGGGTTCCGATTCCCGAGTCTGGTCGCATTGTCCTAGTTGGTACACCAGCTGAAGTATCATTCGCGATCTGTTCAGTCGTTGAGTTACGAATTTCAGGTTCCAAGCTGTTGCGGCTAGGCTCCTTGCACTCAGAATGGGTGGCTCTGGAACGAATATCATTCTCAATGTAGTTAAGCAGTCCGCGGCGCAGAGTGCGCTTTCCAACGTGATGTAACAGCAGCTCAGCGTTCCACACAGACCCATCCAGCAACATGGCAAGGTTCGCCAGTGGCGAGGCCAGCAGCTGTGTAGTGACATCATTCGATGATGCCATTGTTTCACAGCTGGACTTGCTGGAGCAGTTTTGGTACGTCTGTAAGGCGGACGTGAAGCCGAATCCATCCACCGCCGTTGGGAATGATGACACAAGGATAATCTGAGTGGGACGCAGTACTCCATCACACGTTTCAAGTCGTGTACCCAGTTCATACAGGCTTGTGTTGGTGCTGCCAAACTCATCTGCAAGAAGAATCACAAGTCTCAAGGACGATATGTCACAATTACCGCTCATACGTTCCACGTGCCCCACAACCGCGTCGGGATCTGTTGTGAAATTTTCCGTCTCGGTTACGTTTTCCCAATCCAGACGCTGCCATGATGCTGCAAAGCTGTGCCATGGACTCAGCGATATCAGAGGCAGCCCGTCTGGATCCACAGTCGGAAGTTGCATGCTGAACCGATTTACTGGTGACCGGACCGATTGTGGATCCCCGCCGTTGCCATCCAGCACGTGCTTGGCCCGGGTCAGGAAATGCTCTAACCAGTGTCGCCTGCCATTGCTCAGGAGGGTTGGCATCGCCAAGACGAATATATCCCACTGGGGAGAGCTGTCAGGCGAAGTCACTGCAAAAAGCAATTCAAACCAGACAGAAGTGGAAATACGGTTAACTGTATGGCTTAGAAAGCTTGTGTTGGTGAATACATAGCCCAGAAACGTAATACAATAATAGTATATACTCTTCCACACTACACCCCCCCCCCCCCTCGCCTTTCGGCGTGTACACCCCCCGCGCTTACCTCAGACACACAGAACCCCCCCCCCCCCGTCACACACAAATACACCCCTTGAAAGACACACGCGCATGCACACACACACACACACACCTTTCGTGTCCTGAACCTTGCCGTAAGGCGGGCACACAGCCCCCCCCCCCCCCCCCCTGAAAGACACCCCCCTTTGCCATACACACAAAAAACCCTAAAAGACACATGCAAGGCATATTTCATGCTCCAAGGCAAATTCCCAATCATCCGTTTATATACGGAGCATTCGACCATAGCATAATTTCAACAATGAATACCTGGGTTCATGGATGGCATGACGGACCACGTTTTGATGACGGGTGCCACTGGATTCGTCACTGAGGTGCTCCTATCCGCTATAAATGAGCTTAACCTGTTCTGTCCAGTTCCCAGTCGATCTCTGGGTTGGCTGTCGTCGCCTGTTTGATTGCTTCCCTCTGCCTCCCGAAGCATGCGGCCGGTTGCGACAATTTCCACTCCGTACTGGACGCTCGCGATGCCAGTCTTGCAGGCGACCGCTAGTGTACCCCCGTTTTGCAGCGACGTGTGGCCAGTAGATGGAGGGTCTGGGGAACACCTGAATACGACAGTGATAACAGACAAACGCCAAAATCACAGTCTTGTGCTACACACCCATATACTGATTGATCTTTATTCCCGTAGCTATGCAGAAGACGTTACTTCAGTAACGTCTGGCGCTAGCCAGGGTCCACACAGCTTTAATTTGGTATTTGTTTGTTTGTTTGTGTCACACCTGGCGCTATCCCGTTTCTGTCCCGTATCGTACCGTACCATCACACACAGGTGGCCACAAACAGCTGGCCACAATATTCAAATAGGGCTTTCAAATGCACGATCACAACGTGAAGCAACTTGTAAGAATGAGTATGAATGCGAAGTGTATCGGGTAATGCATGTAGGGCAATTGTGCGGGTTCGAATCCCAGGTTATGCCTTGAAAAAAATAGGAGAATTGAAAAATGTATAACATCCCTATGCTTTTTTGCCTGGGTCATCAAGGTGGTAGACGGTGTCGTATTACCCTCGACCATACCTGTCCCGTACCGTACCGTACCATCAAACACGGCTGGCCACAAACAGCTGGGCACAATATTAAAATAGGGCTTTCAAATGCAAGATTATAACGTGAAGCAACTTGGAAGAATTAGAATTAGTGTTGAAACGAGCGTATCTATAACAAACGAGCGATCAGTTCCACTAACGAGCAAGCTATCGAGCGAGCTAACGAGTTTCATTGATGTGGCAAATACGATTTTTGAATCTATTTTTTTTAAGTTCTATTTTTTCAGCTGGTTCAAATTATCACCGAAGGCATTTGGGGTTGCTGCTGCTTCACTTCGGACTGCTGTTTGGTGTCGAAATGTCTTTTCAGCGCCGTCGTTCAGTAGCCTTTGTAAGAATAGACCGTTTTGCAAAGATTGCAAGTAGCCCTGGTCTTCGCTGCATCGCGGGAGAAAACTTCCAAACGACTGAGCGTAACGTTCACTCGAATGGAGAGGTGACCGAAGCATATCCTGCGACAGGTCAGCAGATGCGGAACAATACATCAGTAGAGTCCACCAAAACTGCAACGACAACTGAAACAACTCAAGTGTGTTGCAGGCATACAGTCACTGCGAGTGATTTTCACTTTGCGCGGGACTGGGCTCTCGATCGACAGGGGAATATGTTTGACTCCCCGGTCGACATGTACTGCCATGTGTACGGAGTACGGTGTTCGTTAGTGCAAACGAGCTGGCCGCACAAACGAGCCGAGTTTCTGGCGAGCGAGCTAACGAGTATCCGGTGAGATCGTTTCAACACTAATTAGTATGCATGCGAAGTGAATCGGGGGATGCATGCAGGGCGATAGTGCGGGTTCGAATCCCAGGTTATGTCTTTAAAAAAATTGGAGAAATGAAAACTTTACTATGCTTTTTTTTGCCTAGGTCATCAAGGCAAAAAAGCATAGCGTAGGGCCCTGAGCTTCCAAGCTCTCTCGTAGTGTACAGTCGACTACTGATAATAATAAGAAACACCATTGGGCAGGAGGATTAGTAGTTCTTTATAACCAAAGTGTGTTATAACAGAAATGAACTTACACTGTGGGTTTAAACTGGGACATGGACAATGGTTCGCCATATCATGAAATTTGCTATAGGCGAGTTCGTTTTAACTGGAGTCGACTGTATATAAGTTCATAAACTAACACTGAAACTAAAAAATTCTCCGCAAAGCTCCGTCCGAAGCCATTCAAGATTGCCTGACGAGTGACGAGGCGAGTCGAGTAGGAAGGAAAGATGCACCGAACCCGAGACAAGCCGTCGTTGTGTATTCACCTATTTGCCAGGCGCTACCCAATGATCAAACCAGCTATGCGATAATAACCAGACATGCAGCAACTAGGTACTATACGCAAACAGATGACGGTGGAGAGAGAATGTAAAATCAAGCAAATTCTTGTGTCCATTCCCGAGGGAACTCAAGACAGCCGCTAACCAGCCGTACGCGTGTGTGTATATGTGTGTGTGTGTGTGTGTTTATGTGTGTGTGTGTTTGTATGTGGGGTGGGGGGGGGGGGGCTGAATAGTGGCGGTCAATTCTGCAGCCTTGCAACCTGTTGAATGGTGCAATCCCAGCACAAGCTGCTATGGCTTCTGCTGTAGCATCGCTAACATCGCCTCCGACGATGGGCGTCCAATGGTCCAATGATGTGTGTGTGTGTGTGTGCTTATGTGTGTGTGTGTGCGTGTGTGCACGCATGTGCACATGCATGTGTGTGTGTGTGTGTGTGTGTGTGAGTGTGTGTGTGTGTGTGTGAGTCCTTGTGGGTGTATGTGTGTGTATTTGTGTGTGTATGTGTGTATGTGTGTGTGTGTGTTTTGTGTGTGTTTGTGTGTGTGTGTGTGTGCATGCGTGCGTGTGTGATAAACCATCCACCTCTGGACCAGAGATCCCCAGAGAAGCACAACATCCCTTACAGAGGCTGACGAGTCTCATTGACATCTGCTAACGAGAACACTTGAAGAGAAGATAGGGTACCAGGCACATTGTCTCCGATTGGCAACTGGCATTGCATAGTCTGCATACTTGGTGAGTCTGTACGACGTAACACCTGATCGACATGAAACCGACATCGGCCTGTAGGTACGGCTGCACACGGAGTGTCATCTGGCTGCCCTGTCCCATAACAAACATAAAAAACAGACAATGATTCTCTTTTCCCTCTCCTTGAACTAGTGAATAGTTGATACTTTGGGGCTCCCTGTGTACTAGTTTTTACTTGAAGTGTGTGGGTGTAGTGATTTTGAAGCATGGCATTTTTCATGATTTGTTTCCAGACGTAAAAATTGACCTGTATAAATGACCGTGAAAACATACACCTGCATGATTATCCATTTTTGAAATGGACTGTACATGTACACATACAGTGCTGAGAACTGAAATCTCAGGGGGTCGGATTTCATTTGCCAGCACTGTAGTTAGGCCTCATGGTCATCAATCACAATCATTCATGATCTCATTTCTTGATCTTGCATGGACAAGAAACAATTATTTTCTGCACAAAACTTCACGATTCGCGTGAGACTTGGCTGGAGACCAGGTTATCCGCATCCGTAGGAACGTCACCATCGGCCTCTAGGATCAAGGCAGGAACGTCACCAGCCTCTAGGATCAAGGCAGGAACGTCACCACCCTCTGTGGATCAAGGCAGGAACGTCACCACCCTCTGTGGATCAAGGCAGGAACGTCACCAGCCTCTAGGATCAAGGCAGGAACGTCACCAGCCTCTAGGATCAAGGCAGGAACGTCACCAGCCTCTAGGATCAAGGCAGGAACGTCACCAGCCTCTAGGATCAAGGCAGGAACGTCACCAGCCTCTAGGATCAAGGCAGGAACGTCACCAGCCTCTAGGATCAAGGCAGGAACGTCACCAGCCTCTAGGATCAAGGCAGGAACGTCACCAGCCTCTAGGATCAAGGCAGGAACGTCACCAGCCTCTAGGATCAAGGCAGGAACGTCACCAGCCTCTAGGATCAAGGCGCAGATGCAGCTCTGACAGCGGCGGGAGGGGAGTAGATCACACCCACCATAAACTGGTCAAAGACCAAAACTCGATTCGCTGCATCCATGCTTCCCTTGCACCAGGCAACGCGTTCCCAATGAACTGTCGCAGCACGGCTGGAAAAACCCTTCTCCTTCCAAGCAGGACTTGAACCTGGTACAGTCTGTGTCTTAATCACTATCTTAGACCATCCAACTAGGCCTGCCTGCCTTTCTTGAAAAGGCAGCCGAAATCACACTCAGGGTGGCTGATGGCTGATTGATCATAAAAATATTGCATATCAAACTAGCAAGCAGTGAGTCCTTGACCACTTTTTTAAGGGGTTGGGGGGGGGGTCTGATCATTGAAGGATAGCATTCGCGCATGCGTATGCACATGCGCAGACACAGACTGACACCAGCGTGCACACGCACGGGCACACGCACAAGCTTGCGCACATCCATAAGCACGAACACACATACACACACACACACACACACACACACACATATACGCATTCCTTCCGTATATTCATATCCCTTCGAGGCTGGCGCTATTCCTCAAGATGCGAAAATCTCGGCCTACACATAGCACAAAAGTGATGATGCAGAAGGTGTGGGGGGGGGGGGGGGCTTGCACACTACTTACTGGCAAGGACAGACATGGAGCTGACAGTGTCCCAGCATACCAGCGTTAGCCAGAGAAAAACAAAGCTGGTAGTTTCCATTCTGGCCTGACTTGGTAGATATTCACGTCTGTGATAGTCACCACCGCAGCATATACACCCTCCAGCCACTGATCTAGTATTCAATGCAAGCAATACAAAGCAAAAACATGCACAATATGCATGGCCAGCATATGAATATAAGGCAGAGATGCATTTTCAGCCATGTACTCTTTTTTTCATAGATCCCATTGTGTTCGCTCCTATTCTATGCTTGCACATTCGCATAGTAACGTTACAGGTGCACTGTCATTTTACGGTTACATGAAATGAAAAGAAGCGCGCGTACACACGCACGCACGCACGCACGCACGCACGCACGCACACACACACACACACGGGTGTCCCTATAATAATAATATATTACAATTATTCTATTCCAGTACGACACATTATTAACTTTATCATTTTTGGTGTACCATTCTGCCCTGGAAGTTCTTCCACAGCCCGTTCTTCGTTGCCCGAATATACTCTACAACGTCTACATGTACATTGTATATCAGGAGAGAGGTGGGGTGTATCCTGACAATAACGTGTTGCATTGTATTTCAAAAAGATAGGAGAGGGGCCCAATGGTTACCTTCAGCGAAATGATGATCTTCATATTGCATTTCTAAAATATAGACCTCTGATTAGAAGAAAAAAATTTAGGCCAACATCTATTAAACATAAAAATTTGTGATCACTTTGTGCATACAATTTCCAAAACACACACACACACACACACACACACACACACACACACACACACACACAGGGGCCAGGACAGATGTGGGAGGCAGAATGAGAAAACTCTGTTCTTTGAAGAGCCCTACATGTACTTGAAGCATCTCTAAACACGAACTGAACATGATTGTACATGACTTTGTACTGCAGTGTGGGGGCTCAGCATCATCAATTATTATTGTCTTCTTGCATTGTGTTTTGCTGCCACTGATGCGCAGGCGCGTGCACCGTATGAGTTTTTTGGTGTCTGGAAACCACCTTTTTTCGGGCAATCTTGCCAAAAGAAAAGAGTGTAGTACTGGATTGGTTATCGATCCTGCAAACGCATCGATCGACGGGCAGTTTACAGTACAGTGACTATGTCCTTATTTCGAAGTGAGAGAGAGTTGCTTTGCATGCAGTTCGAAATACATTATTCTCTTTTTCTTCAGTGGAGAGTAGCCACGGAGGGATCAATCTCTAGCTCTGGTTCGCTCCTGGATTGGCGATGACGTTCAAGAAATCCGTTTTGTCTCGAAATTTGAGTCAAGCACGCGCGATGCAAGTCAGTTCAAGGATATGATTGACGATATCTCCTTCCAAACCGTTGACTCAAATCAAGATCGCCACAGCCTTTCGTTCTCGCTCATGTGCGCAGCAGAGATGTTCGTCGAAAACGTTGTCGACTGGAAGACGTAAAAATGTGCGTCCATGATCCACTTGCGCTGCTTCAGAACGAAGCGCTGCTCCGGCCGCGACTCAAGGACGCGGGGCTTCGCTTTTCTTCCGCGAGCTTCCATCGAAGCAAGGTCCATAACTCTCTATTGAAATCATGTCGAACATTGCCAATACATGCTGAAAACTTCGTCATAAGAACAGAAAGAAAGAGACGTCGAATGTAAGCAGTGTTTTGATGAAACAAACAAGCCTGGAGTGGACTAATGAAGTACCATAGTCTGATAGACATAGTGTTATAGACTGTAGTGTAGCCTGGGCAGCTAGGCCTATCAAACCTTTACGTGTTCAATAATTATGACAAACATGTATATGAGTACATTGACTTTTGCACCCTTTTTGCAAATGCTTTTTGAAGTGCTGGTATGTAAAAGGTAACCAGTTTTATCCTGCTATAGATTATACATGTACCAACATTTCCATGTAACCGGCATCGTCTCCTCCCTCCTCTTTATTCTTATTTCTGTCCTTTCTACCCCTGTACCTGGTTCCCTCTCAGACGCGTTTGTGCCGGCATGATCTGATGATAGCAGTCGGACGAGCCCCGCATCTCATCAGCACCAGTGTTCATTGGTGCCCTGCACCCCTGATCTTGAGTCCCCCCCCCCCTCTTTCCTCCCTAGCCGGCTGCCCTCGCCGTTATCTCCGACGGGATGTTCGGGGGATGCGCATGTGCACAAAATTCATACATAATTATACAATGGGGCCCCAGAAAAAAATTATCAACTCTAGAAACCCCCCTTTCAAGACTCGGTGCACGCCACTGATGCAGATGTACGAGTAAGCAAGCGAAGTACAGAGAACACAGTGCAGCCGAGTGAAAGGGGATGTTTGACTAGGTGATTCAATCATTTCACCTTCACAGGCTTCAAGTGACACTTCAAGCCACCTCTCCACGACCCAGCCCATCAGACATCAGCAGGCGTTCTGGCTCGCTCGGAGTGCCGTATCGCATCCGTGTAGGTAGTAACCAGTGGACAGACCTCGACTCATTGCAAGCTAGGGCCCGTAGGGGGCAACATACGCTCCTTTGACAGCGTTCTCTTCAAGATTGCCGATTTTCATTCCCAAACCACGACAAGCGATGATGCCAAGAGTGGTGCATGGGAGCATAAAACATCCGGACCGAGACTGCGTGACTGTGTTCTCTACGCAACGCTAGCCATTGAAAGCTGATTTTGAATGATACCTAAACCATGTAAACTTGAAACGGCTAAAAGTAAAAGATACTGGCAGTGAAATGCAAAAATACGTAAACACCGCTGCCCTTTCTCACCTATGTCAGGGTTCTGTCTCCGTGCGCCAAGCTCAGGTCGTGATTTCTTCCTGGATATCTGGTTGCAGAACGTAGCGGGGCACCTGCTTCAGAGCTTGTTGGCCAGGGCCTTGGCTCGGGATCGGGGTCCCTGTAAGCCAGACTCCTGCGGAGCGGTTCCGCACTCACGCAGCGCCGGAAGAAGTGCAGTTTGCAGTTCCGTTCTTTACAATGATTGTAGCGATACGTCTACACATGCGTCTACACTCCGCTGATTCGTGCCAAGGTTCGAACAGGTGTTACGCCTAGCGCCGGTGAAGAGTGGGTGTCGTCTGTTTATTCCGCTACTGCACACGAGCGGCTGCGCTTACTTCCCGCCAATGTACTGAGTCATTCTCTGTGTGGCACTGTCTATCAAACAGTTGACGAACGCTGCATCTGACCTGGACGGTGAGAAGACACTTCAAGTGGACTGAATGGCGCAAGAGAGGGAAGTTCCAAGCTATGAACAAGCAGCAAGTAGAGGTCCGAAATCATTCAAACGGGCCAAAGCCTAGGTGCAGATCTGTAAGGCTGTTTTTGGCGCACTGGGTTCTCGATCTGTGAATGCTAGCCAGTTTCCTGAAAATTTCCTGCTTTCGCGAAATGAATCGGCATGTACGCGAGGTGTTTCCATGTACGGGAACGATCATGAGCCTCATTTTGTCGATGATACAGCAGTACAGCTCATCCTTGATGGCTTCAACAGCGTTCGGCAGCTGGCCCACGCAAAGGGTTGCGTACTGCTTGCTAAAAATTGAAGGCTTCAGCAAAAAATGAGAGTAGCCGTTCATGCCTCATCACAGTCATCAGGCTGCGAGCTGGCGCGGCATTGACCTGGCAACAGACGTCTGTACTGTCACTCTTATCTGGGGACTTCAGTCTTCACTTCAGAGTTCAGTCACTTCATACATAATAACCTGATAACAGTTCTGTCATGCCAGAGCTAGTTGGAGATGATCAATGATTTCGTACAGATCACTAGTTTTTCCGGGAGAAGTGCAGTGGTCTGAACTCGTTTTGTAACGGGCAGGTCAGACTTTGGAAAGATAAGGGATTTCCCCAAACTGTCACCAACGGCAACGAGTCAACGACAAAAGCAAAGAGTGTTCGCGATTCGGTGCCCCACCCTGAACCATGTGAACCGGCAGTCCTGGCTAGTACTAGTAGTAGTAGTACTGTATACATGTAGTACAATAGTCAGTAGTCAGTAGTAACACAGACTGTCATGCAGTGCTCCATGCCATGGTGTACTACTTAGCAGAACGTTGCAGCCTAGGGAGCGTGTGTGGGCAAGCGTGTGTGGGCAGGCGTGTGTTTCGCCATACAGTTGAACATCGATTATCCGACCACCTCTGGGCAGACAACTGTCAGGCGGTGTTCAGATAAGGCAAATGTTCCGGATAAGAAACATGTACATGTACATGTACTCAATCTGCGGACAGAACTGTTTCGTCCTGTTTCGACCTTTTTACTTTTCAAAATTTTCGTATTTTTTGAATGGCTCACTACATGCACAGTGCGTACTCTACGGCACGTGCGCCCAAAAAAACTGTTCCGGATAATCGAATGGTCGGATAGTCGATGTGCGGATAATCGATGTTCAACTGTATTGCCAGGTGTGTCTTTACCACCATATTTATCAACCATATGTACAGCTGCAGTGGTGTCTTCAACTTCATTCTCCCGAGTCAAGCTCCGTATGAAGATATCCAAGAAGAAGATTGCCTGATGAGTCCAGCGGGGACGAAACGTACGTCGCAATCGAGCTATGTCGTTGCTGTGCCATCTTCTATGTGCCATGCGCTACTTGATGTACCAGCCTGCTATGCCGGATACCGCCAACCATGCATCGACCAGGCGCCAGGCGCGAACTGATCCCAGTGATGGTGGTGGTGGTGGTGGTGAGAAGGCCATTAGGAGAGCTCTATGCCAGAACTTTGCAGCCTAGAGAGCGTGTGTTAACCGCCATATTGTGAGGTGTGTCTTTACCACCATACTTATCAACCATACAATGTACATGTACATGTACATGAGCAAAAGAACACACACAACTTGCACATGGGCTTGATTACAAGCCCGGGGGGGGGGGCACTATTCAACATGGGGCAATATTTTTCATTGGCTCTCAGAGACTGGGGCACTATTCGAGCTAGTGCACTACTGCAGAGAGGGCTCTAATCGCGCGAGTATGGGGCATGAGAGGACACGTAAAATGGTAACACGATTACGAAACCAAAGGTGAGGAAGAACTGAACGAAATGTCAACCGACGAATTATAACTCAAGTGGAACAATAATGTTCTTTCCGCTTACACAAAGCAGGTTTATGAACAGTCCTCGAAGGAGTACACCAAGTACATTGTATATGAATACTGGCTCACTGAGTACTCGGCTCGAATTCAAACTGGGGCTCAATACTCGATAACATCCATGTACATTGTACACGCATAGTACAGGATTGTGTACTGTGCTGACTATTCTCTGTAGCACAAACTGACAGTTCACGGCACCCAGCAAAAAGACAAAGAAGACCTTAAGTTTTCTTTAAACTTTCACGACTTGCGATTTTCCTTCTGAAGCCAGCGTTGCAATAACATGGACAATATCAATAGCAAAATACGTACTAATACGCATCGGGGTGAAAGGCTTCTAAAACGAATTAGTACGGTTTGCACTGCACATTCCGCGAATACTGTACGCAGGAAGAATATTTAAATTTAGAACTCAACAGAAACATCGTTAACTTGAGGATGGGTTACAAAAACTCGTGCAACATACTTGCCAAGAAGCGGTGTTTGCATACTTTGACGGAATAAAACAAGTTCACCACTGTCGCACTCATTATGACTAACATGGATGGTTCAAGTACAAACGTTTTCTTCTTCTAATGGACATGACTACTAAAGGTCAATTACCAGTAAATCTGTTATGAAATCAATAAGTTTGTTAGGATAACGGCTAAAACGCCTCCGAAACACGACTTCATTTTGGCAACAGATTGCGCGACGGAATTGCTCAGGAATGTTCGAATAAAAGTTAAAGCAGTAAACGAATTCTTCAAAGGGTGTTTCAATCATAGTGTGAAATATCTTCAGTAGCCCGCTGTTAGGTTGTGGACAACATAAACGCGCATGTTCATACCGCGTGGATATGCGCAGGCCAACTGTCCCTTCCAAAGAAATAAGTCGGCTCCCAGGTATAACACAATATTGAATAAACTCCGCAAGTTCTTCATTGACGCACGTCGTGTTCGTACTAGATGTACATTTCAATTGGCAATAACCTCCGTTGTATTCCTGAAGAATAAAGATATTGCAAGTCGTTCCTTTGGAGTCAATGCAGAATGACTTTGTTTCGATTGCAACCGCTGGTGCATCGTCTATATAGGATCCCCCTAGCTCCTGCACGTCATCCGCACCAAATTTGCTACATAGAGAATGCAGCACGAGGCACCATCGTAATGCGGGATTCAGTTTTTCCTTATACAGATTAAGCAAAGATGTGCGCGATGATTGGCCTCCACACCAAAGTCTGGTAATGTCCAACAGTTCGGATAAGCTCAGCTTATCGTTCAGTTGCGAAACGCAGAAACTTGAACCAGTTTGAAGAGAGAGCAACTGTGAGCAAGAGGGACACTTCCAGCTAAACATATCTCGATACCCATCTACATCCTTCAATTCGCATTTAACCTTACAATTCGTGCAGTCGACACTATCGAGAAGAAATTCTTTTTCTTGCATGAACTGAATGAGCGACTTTTCCCTTTCCTTGAGGAACATCGTTATATCATCGGGGTTGTCCGAAGCTTTTCCATTTAACACTCCTGGAGTGTGTCCAGCGGTGAGATATGAAGACTTACGTCTACTCTTTTTCCTCCTTGTAGCTACAAATCCAACGCCACTGGAACTATTCTTGCTTATCACTTTGTCCTGCGCGTCCAATGGGTCAGTATTCCGAGTACGCCCTGCCGTTACCTTTCTGACACTGACTTGTTCTTGATGATCCTTGTTCTCATTGTTATCGTTCATCTGTGATTGACGAGTGGGTTTTGCGGCTTCAGTGCCTATTGCAGTCCCTTGACCTGGAAGTGCGATATCGGAATCTGAGATTACTCTCGGGCTGGATATCTCGTGCTGACAGATATTAAATTTTGACTTCTTAACTGAGAGACACGACAACTCCGAAACTGCGACGTTCGCTCCGTGTGTTTGAAGTGCGCTGTCTCCGGGATTTGAAACAGCTACATCTTGCTGGTCCTTTATGTCCTTCTGGTTGTCTTGCTCGTAGCCGCCATCTTGAGGCGAAGAGGTATCCGAACTGGCTTCGGGTGGCTCTAGACCCTTTGTAGTCATGCCGGTAACTGCAACGCCAGTTCGTACTGGCGATGAACCGATTATTCCAGGAACGCGGTGGTAACTATGCTGTCACACTTCATATGACAGACTGGCAAGTTGATAGGGGGATGGCAAGGTTTCAACAGGAAGGCGTTTTCCCTCGCTCTTCGTCATTCAGGGACTCTGTTAAAGTGTTCACCGTACAGCGAAGTAGCCGAGGACAAAACCTCGAACAAACTAACGAAACTCTTGTGAAAAGAAGAAGTCGTGACTTCTAGCTAAACACAGAACATGGGACTAGGTGCCCATAGACATTTATAATCCAGTCAGGATTGTGTGCTATCTCTGCCTCAGGATTGTGTGCTATCTCTGCCTCAGGATTGTGTGCTATCTCTGCCTCAGGATAGCACGACACTTCGTGCGATCTTTCAACGTGCTCGAAACAGAGAATGAATTTTAGCTCTTCATAAAGTAGTGCTTTCGCGTGGTCACGTTCAGTAACCTAGCATGCATGTGTAATACTAGTACGTACAACTATAGACACTTCCACTGTGCACGTGTTAAGTATTATTGATATAGGGATTATACATCATCAGACGAGGTGATGGAGGGGGAAAACTGGCACATACATGTAGATGTACACAGTATCTTCGTTGAGGAAATCAGCACATGAGCGAACTCCCCACCACTATCCGTGTGTTGCCCTGATAGACTACACAGTATTTTGTGATCCTGGAAAATAATCTATTAGCGCGAAATGTAGCGATATTATTTTATTCAACAACATTGGCCAAACCTCCTTTAGATGCGCAAGAATGGACTCGGATGGAGAGCTAAAGATAAATTTATAGTACAGAAGAAAGGACCAAGAAACTACAAGTTACCCTATAATGTTCACTAACACCATCAGCTACAAAACAATCAGCTCATGCGATAACATTGCACGACACTGACCGACGATACTGATGTTCTACAAGTACAAGTAACCGACTAACAGCTCTAGCACATCTTGGATGCGCACTCTAAAAGCCTTCCAACTTGGAAGGTTCTTAGGTATAGAAACAACATGAGGTGTGGTCTTGCCAGTATCGTCATCGACATGCATGAACATCCGCCAACATCCTTCACAGCTGAGACTTTCATCTCGTGCTTGTCTTGGTTGCGCTCACCTTCCCCTCCTCATG